TAATCCAAAGGACCATACTGATCAGGGGAGGTTTAAGGTGCGTTTGCCCTTTTCTCAGGGGAGGAGGGAGGGTTTACTGTTGACTGCGGAGTAATCCAGAGGACGATGCTGATCAGGGGAGGTTGCCCTTTAATAAAGTGAGGCACTGCGGATTTGTGGGCAGAGCTTCCAAATCCAATGCTTTGCGGGTGTTCGTATGGTTGGGTCTGTTGCATAGGCCCCTTGCTGACCAGCTTGACCCTTCGGGGTCCATTCGCCTGTTCTCAAAGGCATCCACGTAATGTGAAGAGCCCACGGCCGCACACCATGTGCGGTGTTGGGAGTTGTCTTTTATATACTAGTACTAACCTTTATCTACACGGGGACCAACCGGCTGAGATTAACCTTCAAAAGCAGCTCGGACATGTTTGTCTTTGATGAGGACACCTGCAGGCAAATAAAACAACTGGTTCTTTTCTTTGTGTGTGTGTGTTTCAAAGAACCATCGCCCACTTCTTATTTCCATGATCGATCATCCCAAGTACTGGTTGACTTACTCGCCACAAGCATTTTTGATGGGGCATCGGCCCAAAGCTTTCCAACCGATAGAAATGAAATCAACCAACCAAACAAAACCACCCCACCCCCCAAGGCTGCTTTTTGCCAGGTTCAAAGTGCGCGAAACGGCATCCCACATCAACTGCAAGCATCCCCGTCCCATTGCGAGTCTTTTTTCAATTTCACTTGGATTGTCACTTGACTCTCTTGGTACTTGCCCTTCCGGTTCCAAGAATTGGCGCAACTCGATCCTGCCCGTCTGAGTCTCAGTCCCAAGGTTTGAAGAGTGAGAAACACTTTGAGTTCTGCTCCAGATCCCCGAACTTGCGATCAAAGTACTAGGCTGGAATTAGGAACCCAGCCAAAAAATATATAAATGCCTGGTTAATGGTAAACAAAGGGGGCCTTAAAAAGCAAACAAAAACAAAAAAGGAGCTGATTCTGCCTGGAACTTGTGGTTTACCACTAGGGCCGTCTACCCCAAAGAAGTAACTATAAGGTCCAAAACGGAACTCAGCAAGTGAGACTAAGCGAAAACTGTAAACTAAAAGCTTGGTTGAACGTGGTCATAATAAGGTCTTGCCCTTACAACATGTTTTGGGCGAAACAGGCGGAAGGGTTCTTGAAAGGGGGTGTTCAGGCGCTTGGATCTGTGCTGGGAATAAAGGGCACTCTTTTCTGTGGCACCAAAAGGGAACCAGTCCTCAAATATCCTCAGATGCCCAGTGAGTTTCCATGGGAAGTTGGTTGAGTTTAAAGGGGAACCCTTACCCAGAAAAAGGGTGAAAAAGGGCACCACTGGGCAACAGGGAATCCTTGACAAGAACCCGAAGCCACCTAACTTGGCCGAACCTCCACGTACCCTAAAAGGCACGGCTAAACATGTCTCCACCCGTCGGCGCCAAACTAAGCGACGCACACCCGCCTTGCAGGTGAGGTTCACCCGATCCGCGCGGGTGCGCCGGCGCCTGCCCAGATGGGACCCTCGACCGGTGGCTTCCTGTCGCCACGGGGTTTGGGGGCTTTGGGGGTTTTGGGGCTTTTTCACCCTCTGGTATCTGGGAAACCAAAAAGACCAGCTTCAATTTGGCTTTCCCATACCACTTGCTGCTGCAATAGGCAAGGAATGACAACAAGTCCTGGTGAGAATGAACCCGACGGGGATTCCGTGAAGGGCCTGGAGAGTTGGTCGTCCCCCCAGAGTGAAGCCCTTAAGATCATCCCTTTAGTGGTTTAAGTCTTGTCTTAAACACTGGCTTGTGCTAGAAGAACCATCCAGCTGACATGACAAAAGGAGGCTGATTTCCTTGATTTCTATTGACTTACTTGTGCAAACCGCAATTCGCCCCTGCCGAATGCTTCCGATCATTTCGTCGGATGCTCAGTTCCTCGAAAGTGATTTGTTGACATCAACACGGTCGACCCTGTGGCATCAGCCCGGAAAGCCAACTGGGTGTGTCTTCTTTGGGCTTCCTCTTGTGGTTAAGGAAGCCAAAAGAGGGTCCAAATCCAACAAGGACCCACACCCCAAGAAACCCCAGGTCTCACCAACCCCCCGCAACCCTTCACCCTCTCGGCACCCGGCGCCCTGGCGAAAAGAGCCCGGGAAAAACACCTCATGTTGATCCCCGGATCCAAGTAGAAACCATGTTTCCCTCCAGGTTCTTTTTGACTCAGGGGGGTCCCAGGTAAAGTTAGCAAGGGAACCCGCCGAAAAGTGAAAAACAAAAGAAATGGATGGTTTCCCAGTGGCCGGTCAACTCTCCCTCCCCCCTCACAAAAAAAAAGAGAAGAAATGGCTTCCCAGTGGCTGGTCAACCCCCCACCCGGGTCAAAACAGAAAGGGGTAACAAACTAGAGCAGACTTGACGGAACTTCAGCCTCTCCGCAGGTCACATTGCACGGGCCTCGGATGATCGCGGACAGCTGCAATGTGCTAAATGCAAAGGCTCAATGGGTGAAAGCCCCCATGCAGGGCTGTCCTTTAACGACTTGCTGTAGTATCTACTTTCAAGTAGACATCTGTAAACATTGGTATTTGCAATGTAAATGAATTCGGGCAATCTGTTTCACACAAGAAGCTCATTTAGGTTTCACTTCAACCAACAATCTATGGCAAAAATCTGAGACCTCTGAAACTGCCCCCACATGGAGCATTCCCGTAAGAGACAACCAAAGACTCCAGGAGCCATGGGGAGAAAGGCACCATGTGTCCCTCCAAAACGAGAATAGGCATACGGACCCAAGAAAGGAATAGGTATTGACCCAAATGAATGTACTTTCATGACGTATTCATCACAAACCAAAACCCTCTTGTGAGGAGATGCCTTGCCCGTGCTTGGCGTTGCCGCTTAATTGTCAGTTTGAATCCCAAAGCAAAGGATCTGTCTACTGGAACACTCCTCATGAAAAAGCACCCCATGGTCAACTTTACACGTTTTTCAGGGTATCCCATTTGCTAGTGGTGTTCAAGGGAAACAACCGACAACATCATGTCGGCGGGGGGCACCTAACAAAAAGACACCCCCATACGCCCTGCGAATTCACATGGTGTGTGTTTTTTGAGGTACCCTTTTCACCTTGGCTTCGGCAGCAAAAAGGAAACCCTGCAGAAGCCACGTTTGGGGTCTCCATCAAGGGAGATTTCTGATGGGCCTGTGGGCGGCATGTTGTGCGACTTACCCGCTTCGACTGGGAATATTAAGAACTTAGTCACTGGGGCGATCAAGCAATGGCCCACCTGGAAATAACACTTTCCCATTTGCAATGAGTAAGCTCGGTGCAATGGCGCCATTTCTTCTGCGGCGTTGGTTCATTCCAGTACTTGTAAACCAAATACAGGGTTCCACGCATTTCTTCCGAACATCACTGGTTCACAAGGAGATCCTCCAAATCAGCCGGTTAAATGTGCTCAGTTTCCCAAAGGACCCAGAAAGAAAAGGTTAATTTTTTGGGCCACGACGGCTCCGGCGCTGCTCTTTTGGCATCACACATGTTGAAATCACGCCCGGGGGGTCGCGGTACTTTTTGTTCTTATTCTCGCCTAGGGGGCTCGGCTCGGTGTTGTTGTTTTCAAATCACGCCTGGGGGGTCCTGGTATTTTCTCGAATGAATGCATGCCTGGAGGATCCGTTCATTTTAGGAATCCCCCCAAGGCCCCCAGGCGTGAATTCAGAAGGAAACCACCGGGACTGTTGTTTTTGTTTCCTTGGAATCAGCAGTCGCTCACTCACTTGCTTGCTCGCTTCATCTTCGAACAAAACACCAAAGGATCATTCCAAAACAAAGACAAGCAAATAACAACGGGTGAATTTCAAAAGAAAAACACCGGTTTCGGGTCACTACCAAAAATGGACGAAACACGGAAACCAAACAGGACAGATCCGGTCGTTGCGGGCAATAGAACCACCTGATAAAATGGCCAAGGTTGCGCTGCTCACATGAAAGGGAAACGAGGGATCTGAATCATTCAACCTACCAGAACCTGCCGTTCCTCTGCAGGTGAGGACCTGGACATAACAAATGATCCTTGTTGGACCTTGGCGGAAAAGTGGACAAAAGAAATCCCAAAGGACGAGCAGTGAGCTTAACACGACCTTCTGCTTGCGTGCCAAAGGACCTAAACAAAACCTACGGGCATGGGCGCATGCATGCGACTTGGGCCCGAGACTTCCTAGAGTCTCCATGACCCTTAAAAAATGGTTCATTACCCGAAATAAAGGAGTCATGGACCTATTTTTACAGGGTCATGGAGACTCCAGGTTTCAGGGCCCTTTTGCTTCGCATCGGACATCTGTGCAGAACTGGGGCGGTGGCAAAGGCCCGGGCAAAGTTGCAAAGACGCAGAGGCGGGCAGGTCATTTCACTTAAGAAAGACCGCGGAAACGTCGCCTCCCTCGACCGCATGCCTTGAAATTTCGCCGTACAAATCGGCAAGGCATCAGGAGGTCTCAGCCCGTTGGAACATTCCGATCCTCAAGCCCCAGGCTGGAACTTGTTGCCATGCAGAGTCACAGGACTCTTAGCAAAGCGGAAAAAGGGCAATTCAAGGGCCAAAAAGCACTTTCAAGCCTCAAGCGGGACTTCAAAAACGACCAGAAACAGGTTTGGTGTCCTTTGTTTCGTTGAGATTTGTTGAGCCTTTGTAAGTAAATCCCAGCCCGGACAGCCCAAGGGAGCAAATTCATATGCAGTCGAATTTGAATCACGGATAGGCGATCTCACAGCACAGTGTCTGAAAACCCCACCATGTTGTCCAGATCCTCCCAAGCACGTTCAGCTTTCGATTTTTGCCTCTTCGCGGAAAAAAATGCAGGGAGCCTGCCAAAGATGTACAAAGACGCTCTCCCCTTCAGTGTATACGACTGTACCCCCTTTTTCTGCAACCTACACCCTTCAGGATGCGTTGTATCCTCAACCTGACCCAAAGGCCGATTCGGCCGCATGGGCTGGTCTCCGCCCCATTAAACAATGGCAGGCTCGCCACAGCGCCTTTGGCGATAGGCTGACGTGAACTGCGCACTGCAAAGCTTAGCTGCAAAGCCAAGTCCCGTGAGGTCACACATGTTTTTGCGACCAATCAAGGAGGTCACAAGGCTTCTTGAACCCAGTATCTCCTTCAGAATCCCTTGAACATGGACATTTCTCCGACGCTAGGTTTATTCACGACACACCCCATCCCTTCCCTCCAGTGGAAGAATCCCCACTGCCTAAAGGGGAGACAATTCCAGTGGCTAGAAATTCATGATTTGATGAGGGCCAACATCTTTTCGCTTTCCCCCCAAAGCGTGCGAGTTGTAAAACGGGTCCAATTGCCTCCACAGAACTCGGTGGCCCAAAGACAGTGGAGAATCATTGGAACCGCCTTCCTGGAGGTGTTTTTCCCCCCTTCTTTGAGTTGGCACCCAAAGTTGCTGGCGGTTTTTGCAGAGACAAACAAGAGGGATTTGTGGCTCAAACGGATGTGGCTGCTTTACTTTTTGAGTTGAGACGCCCTTTTTGGTGGTTTTGAAGGGAATCCAAGCGGAACACCCTTTATCCCAAACAGGGGGGGGGTCTCATCATACAACCCTCATGGGCCATTTCTTAAACAACAAAATAAAAGAGACGCCATGTAACGTAGGGTGTAGGTATGTGGGTATAGGAGGGATCTCTTTGGCTTGGTTGCTGGAACCATCTCCAAAGTGGGTGAATATGAATCCACCAAAATGATGAGTCCCGCAATTCAAACTCACTTGTGACATTCCCCTTTTTTGCCTCGAAATCCCTAATTTCTCACATTCCCCAACACCTGAAAGGCTAAAGGATGGAATTGCGCATCCGGCTGACAAACCTGGGACCCCTCCTGGGGGGGTAGGTAGTGCAGGTAGACCATGGCCCAGGCGAAGACTTGGATGCCTACGCCCACAGCACGGGAGGCGAGCACCGGCAAGCTGCGCTCGCGCGCGTTCACCAGCTTCAGGGTCTCCTGCGCCCAACAAACTTTGCCATCGCTGCGAGAGATGCAGGTGGCGCGTGGACCGCGCGTGGACTGCGCGGACCGGCTGGCAGCCGCAGGGGAATCCAACTGGTGGTTTCTTTCCGCCGAAGGGATTCTGGGTTCATTCCATGTCTCACAAATCAAAATCCAAAGTGAGTGTGCTCCAGACTAACAGCCGGGAGCTCCCCTAATTGGCCTCTGTAAATGGAACCAAGTCTGAGGGCAATTTGCACGTGGTGTCGCTTGAAGCCAGACCTAGCTGGGCTGTCCCTTTTCTGATCTGATCCCCTTCTAAAAGAGGAACTTGTGGGTTACGTGAAAACCCAACCCAAGTACAGTAAAAACCCAAAAACCTAAGTGGATGGCTGGGAACCACCAAACTACGAGGCAGCACCCTCTCATTGTTGTGGTTTAAACATCACAGAACGGGGGTGGTATGAACCAATGGGGTTGGGTCAAGAACCAACATTGGTGACAACAAAGGACTCAATTCGTTCATGCACCAAAAAGGAGGTGGCAACCAAAAAGGAGGTGGCAACCAAAAAGGGCATTGCGCTTTCATCCCCTGAAAAAAACGGAACATGTGTCCGATCTTGATAAGCAATTGGTGGTTTGGATTGATGGTTTGGAGGTGTCCCGGAGTGGATTCCCAGATATATCCTCCGCAAGAGGAGGTTCAAATCCATCTAGATTCCGGAAATTTGCATTAGGGTTACCCGAAATTTGCATATCTCCAGTTACACGCCGCCGGACCATGGTCTTCCTTCAACCTTCAGCTACACTCCTGTAGGTTCCCACTGAATCTCCGTTGGGCGATACGAATGGCTCCACGTTCATTTGCAGGGGAGTAGTCAGCAACCAGTCCGCTATCTAAATAGCCTTCGGGTCCATGCGACGTAACAAGGGGACACCCATGAACAACCCATTTCCTCAATGTCGACCATGGAAGAAACCCTCAGGATTTGCCCAAACCCAACCAATCCGTGGTGGGATCCCACGCCGGGGGAGAAGTTCAATCTGGGAGCCGAGCCGGGCGGCACTCGGAAAATGCCCTTTCATCACTGGAAATCGATCTGCGAATGTTGCAATAAGACCTGAAATAAGAAGTGGATCCCCAAGTAAAGAAATATGGCAGCTCGTCTTACCCCGAATCGGTGAGCTCGCTATAGATCTTGCAGACCTCATTGAACTGGGCTGCTCTCAGATCCCCCGCTAAAAGTGTTGCTTCCCCTTTTATAGTGGTTTAAATGGACACTACTAGTACCACTAAAGCCTAAAAGGCTAAAAAGCTAACCAAGGGGATGGCTGGGAGCCACCAAGTGAACGCGTTCTCTCCCCAGCGCACGACAAACAGGACCTCTGATTCTGGGCCGCTGAGCCAGTTGCCAGTCCTCTGAGAGCTTGTAGTCGAACACCGCCTCCAAACTCGCGACGGCAAAAAAAGAAGCGGAGAGCCAGCAGTGTGTGAAAGCGGCGGTGCTACACTTGTAGCAGGCAAGTGTATACTAGAAAGGTTGAAACACGTAGAATGCCAAGAATTGAACAGTTCAGCAAGAAATGAAACATAACACAGGCTCATATTAATATGTTGGCTACGTGCAAGACATGTTGTTTGCATCTTGAGCTGCTGCACCATCGCATCTCGAGTTACACCTGCGCAGTGGTTTCGACGCGGCAGTATAGAACTCTTTTCCTGAGTCCCAAACAAGTCCTGGCACCTTCGGTTTACCACTAGCACGGTCCAACCCCAAAAAATTGACTCAATTCCGAAACGGAACTCAGGGAGTGAGGAGAATGAGCTTAGGGAAGCTTAGCGCGCTTTGGTTGCCAGGGGCCACGATAGCAAAGAACGCCATGATGGCAGAGGTTGGGTCCAAGGGCACCAGAATGTCAAAGGAAACTCGGAACATGGTTTTGCCAAAGGTGATGTTTGACCAAAGGAAAGGAAGATGGGGTCGGGGTGAGGTTGCTAAGGTAATGTAAAGGGCCGCACCCATTCCAATTTCCGACCCCCCTGACTGTCCCATTTTGCGGGCTTGGCCTTAAACCTAAGATTTGACTCTAGCATCATGTGTTACCAAAAGGTGGACCCAGTTGCCGCGCGTTTTGAACATTTCGGGGTGTGTCTTTTTGAGGATAGCATATTTCCCTTTAGGATGTGGATTTAAAGAGGAACCAACAGGCAAGTAACCTTTTGTTTTTGCCCAAATCGGGGGATGAATCTTAATGGTGAACCCTTTGGTGGACACCATTCAGGTGGGGCTTGTGTGCGTCCAGCGCTTTTGAAGGGGGTCCAACTCTTGAGATTCGCGGCCATGCACAGCGCGTGTTCGATTCTCAGGGACCCCTCCAAGTATCGGCTTCCAAAAGCCATACCAAAAGGGTGAAACACCACTGGAGAACTGACTTGACCAGTGACCAGCAAAAAGTGTTCACCTTTTTTGGGTCACAAAAGGCGCGGCCAACAGTCTCAAGTGCCAGGGAAACAAAGCAACTCCGGACCCCTCTTTTGACACAAAACCCAACGGCATCAGCCACTCACTTCCTGAGTGGACTGGCCAACAAGAGTCCAAACTTGATATTTGCCACTATGTTCTTCTTTCTAAAACGTTTTTTAAAGTCCAGGGAACGTCGTTCGGAAGTCTCGGCCAGAAGACGCCTCCCCGCCGCAAAGCGCGTCATCCCTCTCCCGCGCCTCGCGCTCGATGCCCAGCACCGTGAGATCCACCACCAGGTCCCCCGCCGGCAGTGCCCTCTCCGGCACCGGGCGCCCGAAGCGCCGGTCCGGGGCGTCCCAGGGGATCCAGAAGCGCCGCGTCTCCCCAACCACCTCACGCGACCGGAGACCCGGAGACCGGAGAGGTCAAGTGGCTTGGCTCCCGTGGCTATATACAAACAGGGTGAAACAAGAAACTTTCTTTATCTAGGTCCTCCAGTAGAGAGGTTCGAATAAGGGTACCCGTTTTTTCGTAGTCTACTTTAGAAGGGAAACCCTCCCCCAAAAAAGGGTAAAAGGGCACTACTGGGGGACCTAGTTATTGTTCCGCCAAAAAGGACCTGGAACATTCGGAAGAGTTTGGGGTCAGGAATCAGAGTCATGGTCTAAACCCAACTTCTAGGTCATGGTGCAGAACCAGGCCTTGGCAACCCTTCCCGGTCCAAAACACCCTATCTATTCAGAGGTTGGTGACCATTCTGGAAGAGCAAAGCCCACATTCACTAAAGCTTGCTCTGGCCCATCAGAAGCTGTTCAAATGCAGAGAGAGAGAGAGAAATACTTCAGTATCTTTAGTCCCAGACTCACTTGTTCCCACACAAATGCATGCATCTGACTTGTGTGCCCGATATGTGCAAGAAACTTTGGGGCCCGGTCTACCGTTCGTCCTCCCCAAGAATAAGCTATCAATAAACTGTACAAGTGCTCATCTTGATCAGACTTGCAAAAAGTCAACTGGTTGCCAGTTGAATGGATTATTGCAAAAAAATATTGAAGAAAACTCAAAAGGGCAAAGGGCATGAATGTGTGTTTGACAACATCTTGTAACAAGTAGGTGCCAAAGACTTTGTCAAATCTCAGGGGCGTCCCTACGTTTCGCAGAAAATGCAACCTAAAACCCAGCCTTCCACAGCCATGTGAGACAAAGGTATGAGTCAAAATACCGGAATCTCAAAAAAAGGTGTTGGAGTTCTTCACCCACCCCCCCTTTGGGCACCGAGCCTCAAAAAAGTGGAAAAGTGGGCATGAGTTCTAGTTCGGAAGGTAGGGATTCACCACTTTCAACGTGGGCTACTCAAAGGAGAGGGAAACACAGTTTTGTCAACAACGGGGAAACCCGGGACCTGAAAAGGAACGAACCCCTCCGTGACTGCAACCTCTCCCTTAACCTTGGGGTTAGCGCGAGCAACGCGCTGTTTTCAGCACTTGAGCCAAAGCAGTGATTGGATCATGCTCAGGCATTGACTTGAATGTACAACATGCAACTGACTACATGAGAACCTACCTCATGTACCTCTGGGCCATAAATGTCATCGTGATAATTGACTCCCCCCTCATTGACGGCACTGAGGGAGTGTCTTGGGCGCATTACCACGCCAACTTGAAGTCAAGTTTACATCACAACGACTGACGCAAGTTATTCAAGCATCGCCCAGGCACTTTGCACACTTTTGGGAAATTTTGCGGACATGCTGCAGCGCGCTAGGCAGCTGCTTTAGCGGCTCTACTTTCACGAACGTCTTCAAGCTTCTCTGGAAGGTCTACACGAATGCCGAGCAACCGGATGGCATGGTCCCACTTGTTGGGTGGAAGTGCTTTCGTGAAGATGTCTGCTGACTGCATGTCGGTTTGGACGTATTCTATCGAGATGTGTTCGCTTTCAAGCTGCTCTGCGATGCACGCGAGGTTCACCTTGTGCGTTCGCTGGACACAGCGTAGCTTGGATGAGAAACCTTTTCTCGCTACGAGGATAGTCGCCTGATTGTCCTCGTGGATCTTGAGATGGAATGGTCGGTCCAAGATCAGCTCCCACAAGCTAAGCGCAGGGAGCGCCTCCTGATAGAGGGAGTATGCGAGAGATACAATCTCCGCCTCGGTTGTCGATCGGGAGACCGATGTCTGCCTTTTGGACACCCACGCAAGGGGAAAATGCGTGTGCGGACCACTCAAAATCAAGAATCCTCCGGACGTGGATTTTGCGTCTCGTTCTCCAGCGAAATCGGCGTCCACATAGAGAGACAGATGCAACTCCTCAGTCGAATCTTGAACTGTGCCTACTAGCGTGCTGTTGACCGTGCTGTTTATGTAGCAGATAAGCCTATGTAGCTGCTTATCGCAGTTTCTAGACCATTTCTGAACAAATGAGGCAAGGTCGCCAATGGGCTTGACCAGGTCTGGGCGTGCCAAACAGCCGAGCTCACCCTCCAAGGCGTCATCTGCAGGATCAAGGGATCCAGCGGGACAGAATGGAGTGGTGGCATCACGCAACTTTTCAGTTTTTAGCTGTGCAACCTCAAGATATAATGCAACCGTTTGACGGGCATAATCCCGCATGTCGAACGCCATGCCCCCTTTCAATCTGCCCATTGCGGCATTAAGATCGGGTTCAGTTGGGTCCTTTGGAGCATCTATCAAGAGGTGATTCCTGCCTAGCACCCGATATATGTCTTCTGGGGGTTCTATATCCACCAGTCTTGTTAACTTTTCCCAGAAGTCTTTATGAAGGTGGCTGGGGCCGGCCAACGTCAAGTCGTCGACGTATGTCGAGAGAAGTAACCCGGGCTCCTTGAACCAGAAGTTTCCCGGAAACTCTGCGACCTCACGCCCTCCAAGTTCACTAATGAACCCTTTGAGGTGTGCCTCCCAGAGTCCGCCAGCGTCAGGATGCCCATAAAGAGCTTTAACGAGCAAAACCACAGGTTTCACGAAACGCTCGCGCCACCACCTTGGCCGGAGCTCAGGCGGGAGTGTGATCCAAGTTTGGTACTTGGACTTCAGCAGGGCTTGCACATAAGCCTTTATAGCGTCCGCTGTTGTGGTGGAATTCCCTGGCAGGGATCCATAAGCGAGACAGTTATTAAGACCTTGTACGCTCGTGGGATTTGCTCCCAACTCTTGGTAGACAGCTGCTGCGCCATGTTCGTCTTTCGCACAGTCTCCGCGATACACAATCCTACCTTTCATCTTCTGAAGGTGTTTCGCGAGTTCGGCGAACTTGACGGATGCTAGCGACATCAACTGCCCGAAATGGACTTTTATACTGGATCGTCGCGCCTCAGCAGCGACTTGATCATACTCTCGGACTGAATTTAGATCCCAAACACCGGCTTTCTCCAGGCCTGTGGCTTCAAGTCGAACGGCTTCAAGGGCTTCCGGGGAAGCCAACATTTCGGCACGTGACAAGAGTCTGGTCACCATTGCGGTGATTTCAGGATCCTTCTCCTCCTTGACTTGTCCTAGGGAATGTGCGATGAGATTTTCAACATCAAGAACTTGTTCAAGGATGTCGTGACACTTTTCATCGGACTCAACAGCAATACCTATATCTTCCAAACCAGAGAGAGGGGATATGTGTTTCAACTGCTGTTCACGTTCCCGGTGATCGAGAGGCAATGGCACTTGGACAGGCATCGCAGGCACAACGGGTTGAACTGTCGGATACAGCGCACGGGCAACTGTGAGACACATGCCTTCGGGGTAGAAAGCGGTCTTTGCGGTCTTGTTACCTGCTGCAAGCGAATGTTTATACCCTTTTTCGTGCGGACACTTGAATGCACCTAGTGCGGATGCGAGTGTGCTATTGCTGGTCATGACTTTCCATGGCTTCTTGATGGGATAACCATTGCTGTCCTTCAGACCTAGGGCGCAACCGTGGAAGGTCGCTGGGGTGAAGACGTGTGCGTATTCTCTAAAGAATGCAGAAACATCATCCCTAGCCCAGCTGTCGCAATCCCTTGGCCACTCAAACGAAACACTACCCCCCTGATGGAGGACAGTCTCTGCGTGACGTCTGAATCTGGAGAACAACTCTCTCGACTCTCTAACCTTTTGCTTCAGTTTCTTTTTGAACTGGCTTCCTAACTTGGCCTTATTAAGGCGTTGCCATGCTGAACCTGATGTACAGGGAATTGCAGCCCAGAGATTGGGTTTATCACAACCTTCAATCTGCGACTGCAACTGGATTTCTCCTTCATCTGTGCTAAGGTCGATAAACTCTTTAGCCAGCCTAACATGAGGTATGCCAAGACCTTCAAACACGCGACCCATGTTGGACTCTGGTGAACATGCGTATTCGAACATCACAGGCAACTTGTCAGTGCGTGCCTGTCTCTTGCGGGCACGATGATTTCCTACCTCAAACTGCTTGCGCTGCGGAGCTTCAACCTCTGCGCTGCACGGCATGCCAAAAATTGGCAATGTGTCCGGACGACCGTTCTTTGACGCTTCGGTGAGAGGTGTCGGCGGTACGGAGTCTAACATCACGGCTGCACCTGTGGTGATAACACAATCGGGCTGAATGGGTTTTAACTTGAACACTGTGAACCCGGTCCATGCGTCTCCAAGTGAGCGATTAGGTCGGCTACCAAACCAACCATCGTGGATGTTGTCTGCTTTGCCCCCCTGAAACACGGCACGAGTGGTGCGAGCTGCAGTAAATCTTTCTGGGGAAACGGGGCAATCCTCGACCTCTTTCGGGGTAAAAAGAGTTTGCCTTGGCATGATATGGTATCGAACCAAACAGTTGGCATTTTCTTTGAACACCCAAAAATCTTCACCTTGCGATGTAGCGGCTGTCGCTGGCGCGGTATCGAAAAATGAGCCACCGGGTCTTGAGGGAGCGGGCTCCCCAGCTTCGGCTGCATCAAATTCATGCGCGACATCTTCTGCACTAACTGCGGTCTTAGGATCTACTTCATGCTCGGATGCGTGGATTGCTCTGGCTAGCTCCTCATCCCCTTCAGTATGAACAATGGGAATGGGTTCCTTAGATTCAGTTTTGGCAGCGCTTTTTGCAGCTGCTTCAGCTCGATCTGCGGAGACAAGTTCGGAGAACCTCTTCTTGCATTCGGCACTGTGAATCTTGGAATGACCGGTGCATGCACGGCAACCTGGCGTTTCCTTGAACTTGATGATCCTCTCAACAGTTATGTCACGGATTTTGACTTGACAGCGGATGGAGTCGGTGGGGCACCAAAGGGCGCCTCTCGCAGGGGCAGAGGTGGGGGATCAGACCCTTCTGTCTTGCCACCATGCAATGCTCTATCTGCTGCTGCTGCAATCGGAAAGCTTGGGGGTCCGTCCTCAACGAACAATTCCGGTTCAGGAACATCGTG